TTTCAAAACTAAACTAATTTAAAAAGGGGATATACCTATAACTGATGGAAAATGGATGCCGTGGCTCATCAAACTGCACATGCAATGTAATCGGTGAGGACTATGATGAAATGCCTCGTTTACTGTAAAAAGGATCATCGGCTCTCTACACTCACAATATGCAACTCAGCAGCATTAAGCTACTATTTCACGCTGGTATTCCATGAGAGCGTGGTCCTTCCCCTGTCGAGCCTGGGTCGGGTTCGTGCTATAACCATACTATAGTTACAGGATGGACCTATCACGTAACAGGTTGGAAATGTTTGGTTCTGTGATCGGCAAACACATGCATCCCCAAGCGTCGCAACTACGACAACTTCTCTCTTTAAATGGAGGCACGTATCTACCGATAGATTATTGCTGTGCTGATCGCAGGTCTTCGTCTATGATATTTGTTTCCGACGATTCCGATATTAAGTACTGTTTGTGCTTGACCATCTCACTGGTCTCTCCATGAAACTAAATTATAAATGTAAAAACTTTATTTAACATTTTAGGGTTTATAACCATAAGAAATTGTTCATAGAATGGTGATTTTATGCTTTATATTTTATTAATGCCTTTATGTAATGTGAATCTTTACTTGTTTTTATGATGTGTTTAATTTGTACTTTTTGAGAAATACAGTTGTTTTGTGCTATCATTATGAGAAGTAAAGTTATGATACAATATATGGAAACGTGATAGTGAAAATTATCGGTTCATGGGGGGTTTCTCGCGCTTGGCTCTCCTTACGGTTTAGCTCGGGAGTACCTTAGTAAGTTGGTCGATTTTCATTTCTTTGAAGGGATCTCCTAGGTGTCCGTTGTTTGCAGTTAGCAGTGGCTGCATACAACCGCCGGTAGACATACCCCGCCGATCGTCAAGTCCGCATACCCCGAAAGGCGTCGAGGTCACCGGCCCCTAGGTAGAATCTTGGCACTTTAAAGCGCTCGAGTTTTACTGTGCCTAGTCGCGATTTTTAAAGTGCCACCATACGCACTTCCCCCAACCCTTTCGTAGTGGAAGGGGTAGGCAGTACCCCAGTGTCGAAGCCATTATCATCTACCATCACCCCTACCATTCGAGTCGCGCGTCATTATTGCCTGCCGATCGCTTGGTAAGAACTGATAGGGCCCTTAGATTACTCACTGAACACTTCATACGTAGGTCAACACTGTGTCGGATAAGGGGGAGCCCCCCCTCGAGCAAGGAAACCACCGGACCATCCAGACGTTTTGTACCGGCCAATCGCGTACAGGGACCTGTTCAATCCTGAACGGTCCAGAGTAGTACCGTCGTACTCTCAAATACCTACTCAGAAGCCATCGTCATCGCCGAGAAAGGAGTCCACACCGAGCGCCGCGCTCACGTCTGCCGTGTCTAAATACACGGCTAGGCAGGAACCAACGCCTCAACCCCAGCGGGCTATTAAAACGGCGAGACACCACAACTCACCGGAGACCGATGCCTCCCTTCATGAGAAGAGGCAGCGCATCGGGTCTCAAGACCCGGAATCGTCAGCACCAACATCATCATCATCATCATCATCGGATGATGAGGAGCCCCAACGGGTGACCAGGAAGAAGGTCCACACCTCGCCTCCGAAGTCACCATCACCACCGCAACCACCCCCCTCCGTCTCGGCGGACCGACGTAGCCACGACTCGGCCCAGTACGATCAAGGAGGCGAGAAATCTAACAGCTGGGGGGTCTACAACCTACGTGACCCTAGCTGCATCCACCGGACGACCATCACCGGTACAGACCACCAATCCGTCCGGGTTACCGCAGGATGACGGACAACGGCCGTCAACGAGCTATGCCCACATGGCAGCAGCTCCAGTAATACCACGACCGCAAGCGGCAGAAGAGCCCAAGAAGCATGAAAAAAAGATGGCTACATACCCACCAATTGTAGCGGAATGTCTCCCAGACTGCACTAAACATTTTGAGGAGCTCAACAGAAAGTTGGGCCACACTCCTAATGCTCGCCCGTTCAGGGTGGTAAGGTTCGCACTCCAGAGCCCGGAAGAGTTCAGAACCATCCAGTGATATATCGTTGAACTCTCCAAAGAGCTACCTACAGTGTTGTGTATTGCTATACCCCGGCGGAGAAGAAGCCCACTAAAGTGGGCATCCGGGGACTTCCAGTGGGCACCGATACCGAGTTCATGGAAATTCATAACCGGAAGGAGACAGGTCAACAGGTCAACCTCCTTTTCAATATAGATTAACCAACTGCGGCCAAAGCCGATACAAAAATTTTACAACGCCTTAGGATAAGGCACCCAGGACCGGCACACTGTAGTATGCCCGGGTAAAGGGGTGTACCCCGAGGCCCGAAACCTGCTGGGCAGAAAGCCCACGCAGAGGACAACACGAAGCATTTCGTTGAGTCGCGTCCGGATCGCGTTTGTCACCGGTCACGTCCGCCGGACGTCGGCCCCCGCCTGCGAGGGAGTAAGTCGCGTCGCGTCACTAAGCAGCGGGAGTACGAGTTGTGTTGGAGCAAACTTGGCCTCACACCGAGATTAGTCTCCGGGAAGCATCGAGATCGCCCCCGACTCGTCCTGGGACGATATAACCTTACCACTGCCTTCACCTGCTGGGAAGCAAGCTCCGGAGGCCGGTGTGCTGCTGTCAGAAGAGCGCACACTAGTCGGTGACATCGGACCTACGTCAAGATCCATCACCGTGTGACCTTGAAGTTGCTGGCCCTTCGGCAAATCCCTTTCCAGAGGCGCGAGATACGCCACAAATGCCGCGATGGCCTTAATATAACAACTGGGATGGAGCTCCTTAGGCCCGGAGTACTGCTATCAGGTGCGCACACCTGTCGGTAGAATTGGCTCCACGTTGAGACCCGTCTACGTCGAGTCTTCGTGGGGATTTGAGACCGCTGACCATTTGGCAGATCCATCCTAGGGGCGCGGAATATGCCAAAGCTCCCAGAAGCAAAGGCCCCCAGGACCGGCTCATAGTAGTGGGCCGTGAGGATTACCCAGTAATGGGAAATACCCCGAGGCCCGAGACCTGCTGGGCAGAAACCCATGCAGACGACATCGGCAGTTCATTTCGTTCGACCTATCTTGTGTGCCGGATCGACAGGATTCTGCGCATGCCCCGCTACAGTTTCCAGTTACAAATCACGAAAGAAAACGAAAAAGTAAATTAAAACTAGTGAAAGTAGTGAAACTTCAGTATCACGTTTCCAAATGTTGACACTGGTGGAATAACACTAGTGTCTACTCTAAGTACAATAAGTACATGACTGACGTCTGGACCGGGACTATTCCTTGAGGCCCGTAATCTTAGTCGTCAACTACTATCTTTTAAGAGAGTAGTCGAGGTTCCAAATTGAACGTCTTATCAGGGGTCACGCCCACCGCGTTGATTATATATATATATATATATATATATATATATATATATATATATATATATATATATATATATATATATATATATATATATAAGTACTCCTAGTTTGAAAGGTCAACAGAAATAAAATTGGTACCTCAACGGTTAAAGATTTTGAAAAACGATTGCAAATATACATTAAAAGTGACGAATTTATTCAGGGTCAGGACCGCCACTTAGCGGTCAGCCGCCGTAGAGTCTATATTACCTGAGGATGCCTCGTGTAGAGGCGAAACACGTGTCGTATTATCGTCGATGGTGTGTCTTGCCTGGAATAGTGGTGTTAAGAGTAGCGGTGCTTGGTCTAGTGGTGACGGAGTTAGTGTATGCAATTGAGGGAGGGCGGGAGGTGCGCTTCAATCCAGGTAAGACACATCATTTTATATGTTTAGCGGAAAGTTGCAAAGAAATTTATACTTTTATTTTTTTAAAGCCTAAAATGTCTACATTCTCAGTGAAAAAAAAATCATAATTATTTTGTTCTTCTACATACGTATAAAAATTAATATAAAATAAACAGCCTTAGTGTCTTATGAATCTAAATAAATTATGTAAATTGGATCAATCATGAAAATCAGTCTTACAGTTAAAAATAAAATACACACATATACACTGGTGATGCTCTTTACACCGGCCGAGCCAATATTTCTCGGGAAAACGTCTCCGAGTGCCGGGACAAACTTGTGTCTGAAGTCGAGTCTTTGCTGAACAGAGTCTCGGATTGGGGGCGACTAAATCTAGTCCAGTTTAACCCCCAGAAGACACAAGTTTGCGCGTTAACCGCTAAAAAGAACCCCTTTGTCGTATCTCCTCAGTTTCAAGGCACTCCCCTTGTTGCCTCAGCCAGTATCGGAATCCTCGGCGTCGACATATCGAGTGACGTGCAGTTTCGTGGTCACTTGGAAGAGAAGGCCAAATTGGCCTCTAAAAAGCTTGGCGTGCTCAGCAGAGCGGGACAGTATTTCATGCCGGCACACCGCCTGCAACTTTACAAGGCGCAGGTTCGGCCGCACATGGAATACTGTTCCCATCTCTGGGCTGGGGCTCCCCAGTACCAGCTCCTTCCACTTGACCGCATCCAGCGCAGAGCGGCTTGAATCATCGACGACCGAGTGTTTTCCGATCGGCTCGATTCACTGGCACTGCGAAGAGATGTTGCATCTCTTTGCATTTTCTTTCGCATATACCATGGAGAGTGCTCTGAGGAATTGTTCGGATTAATCCCAGCCGCCAAATTTCGTGAACGCACTACGCGGCAAACGTCGCGATACCATCCACATCATCTGGATGCTTGGCGGTCCACCACTGGACGTTTCAAGAGGAGTTTTCTTCCGCGTACAACCTCTCTGTGGAATAGTTTACCACCAGCGATTTTTCCGGACCGATACGACCTGGGGACCTTCAAGAAAAGAGCGTACCTACTTTCTAAACGGCCGGCAACGCACCTGCAATTCCCCTGGTGTTGCGGTTGATCATGGGCGGCGGTAGTCACTTAACATCAGGTGAGCCGCATGCTCGTTTGCCCCCTCTTCTATAAAAAAAATATGTAAATTTGTTTGTTACATTATAAGAGAAATTATGTCATCAGAAAAGAACAGCCTAAAGTATTCAATTGGACTTTTCTCTTCACGTGGCTCAAACGCGATATCATCCACTTCTGCACAACCAGTAAACTTGAAGCGACTCCAATTAGGTTCTAACCTTTTTGGTGGTATTACTATGCGCTTTACTGTGACTAGTCTAGGCCTCTTTGAGCGAGTAGCTGTTGAAGGAGAAGGTGCAAACAATGGCGATGGCAAGTGCGTTGGGCGGGTGTAGTACTGAATTTCATCATCAGATGATTCACTTTCGTCCAATTCCCTGCTCCCGGCTTCGGAACAAGAGCTACAAGTTGCTGAGCTCTTCTTTGTTGTTGAATAATAAGGTGAGGAAGTACCTGCGGAAGAAATAAGAAATAGTAGTAATAAAATTGTCATCTTGACCGCATTTTGGCCACAACAGCCAATTTAATCGTAGCCTAGCTATAGCCGCGGTCTGTGAATCAAACCCGAGTAGTATATACAAATAGTATAGTACAAATGAGGCAATGTCACATATTTGATACATAGCAAAAAATATCTAGAATATTCGCCATCTAGCAATGTATCATATTTGCTACACTCATAAAACACAAAAGACCACTACTATTCTTAGGTACAGAAAAATAACGTTTATGACTAGAATATATAACAAGCTATGCGAATTAGACTACTTTTGACAACTATTTGTACAAAATATAATAAATAATGATTATTATTACCTTGCGATGCGTAGACGCATTCAGTCTGTCCGCCATCTTGCGTTATATAGATATAGCTCTTTTTGGTGTTGCTAGCACTTAAATAGTATTTTTGGTAGTAATACAAGTTATATAATATACTATATAACTTGTATTTATAGAAAATACAATATTTTCTAATATTTTAAACAATAAAAGTTTTAAAAATTCGTTTGAGAAAGTCTCGAGATTTCTGAAAAGTTGAACGTATCAAATTGTACACAGTGCCAAGAATAGGGACGGTCGCGGCAGTAAGTAATGTTTTTGATTAAGTTTGTGGTTGTTAAAAATTAATTAATAATTAAAGTGTATGTGTTGAATCGCGATATAATACTTGAAATTGGTTTTTTGTTACATGTGTGATAACACCGGTAAGCGAACAGTAGATTGGTCCCCCACTAGATATAGGTAGTGACATGGTTAGAGAGGCAGGAAGTCGATGGATGCAGGTGGCTTAGGACCGTTTTTGTGAAATTCCTTGGAGGAGGAATATGTTCATTATGGAGTATAGAGGTAAGGAGTACAGACTGTGTATAAAAAAGTGTCCGTAGGAAAGCGCTAAATAAGGGTGGCGCCACTTAAGCTAAATTTTATTTATTTTGTAGTCTAAATTTTAAAATTTTATTTTAATTGTAGTCTAAATTTTAAGGAACTTTTTATAATTTTTTTATTGCACAGACTCACCATAATTCTTTTTACAATAATTATTTGATTCCTTTCAAATTTTTTATTTTTAAACCCACTCACGTATTTTACGGCGATATATAATACCCTGTAGCTACTCGAGCGCTGTTGTGGAGAATTTTTGAGCTGTTATTTACTGCTTACAGATGGACACATTTTCAACTATTCTCCTATGGGAGATTGTCCTCCTCACCTCTATACCCCATGATGTTCATACTATACTTGTCAAAAGAGTTTTAGCGGGAACTCGGCCGTAGACGGATTGTCGCTCCTGTTTTGTCGCTTATATAATGGTTTGAAGTGGATTTTGATTTGTAAAAGTGATGTGATTTTGTGATATTGAAAATTACCCAAAAAATTCGCAATGTAACGCATCAGCATATGGCGAAGAAAAAATATATAAAAATGAAGATTCTGAAAGAAATGATAGGCTCAGAAGGGCTAGAACCCAGAGCCGTAAAGCCAGTTAAATAAAATAATATAAAATTGTCAAAGGACGTCATAATGTCATGATGATGATGACCATGAAGGTTAGAGAACAGGAGAACGATCGCCGTAGAAAATAGTGTCCCAGAAACATGGATACCATAAGTGAGGCGCTGCGATCACTAAGTTCGGTCAATAAAAGTCATTTTCAGTCTATTTTTCCGATCAGATGCTAAATCACTTGCACATATAAATATTTCAACACAATAAAATATTTCTCCATTTTTTAATGTTTCTTTTTGTCAAAAATTACAAAATTACGGAGCATCAAAATTTTCTCATTAAAAATGAAATGAAAATTTGTACATTATTCAACTACTACTTGTATTCATAAACAGCTAACTTCGCAGTCACTACTCACCGACGTCAGCGCCGCTATATATTCTACAATTTTCAAGGACAGGCGGGCTATGCTTTAGTACGTAGTGATCGTTCTCCTGTTCTCTAACCTTAATGATGATGACGATATGTGATAATTTTAAAATAAATAAAACACAAAATATTATATTTTCCATTTATTAAAAATCAATTAACTGAATATACATTAAAAACTGATTCCATTACATTACAGTTTATTTTTATTGCAATCGATAAATGCAATAGAGAACAGTCTTTTATAATAATACATTTAATAATCTCCGTAAGGAATAAACTTTACTTATAAAAAAAATTAAAAATTTAATCAAAAACCTATCTGGGAGGATTTTTTGGATGTGGTATAAAATTCACGGAAAATGTTGACTGATGCAATTTGCAGTCAGAAAACCTAAGTCTGAGGTTTTCTTAATTTGCCGTCCCAGAATCAAAAATAATAACTGGAACTCATAGGAAAATGTGACCAGAAAGTGAAAGTACCCAAGTTGGATTCCATCGTCAGTTGTAAATACTCATAATAATCGATCTAAAGATCGCGCGCTCCACATCGTAATGGCTGACTGATCGGCTAGTTAAGTCCCGTATGAGCGTGACTCAAACGTGGTTTTAGGTCACCGTGTACTACAAAATAATTCAAGTAGTAAAAATTATATCCGGACTAACAACAATTCTGTAATACATTACACGTGTTAATTAGTTAATATATAATTATTACACGAAGTTAATAAATAAAAATAAGTTATAAGATAACGGAAAAATTAAGTAGATAATAAAATTCAAGATGTCTTTTAAGTATCCATTATAAAAACTGAAAAGTAATATCGTTAATAATTTGACTGAACGTAAATTTACTAAGAAGTTATATTTTTACTAACGTATTTATGTTCAATCCTGCAATATGAATAGAATGGTACTTAAAAACAAAGTAAACACTTTTTTTCTTGCAATGAATCGTATTAAAACAAAAGCATGTATTTTAAAAAGGAATTAAGTATTAGAAAGAAAAAATTTAATATTTATTACATTTTAGAAAGATTAAAAAACCTTAAATTATCACGTTGATAAGAGTACATATTTAAATAAATAAACTTTTAATGAAATAAAAATATTAACTTGACTTTGAGACATCTCTAAGGCCATATTCAAAGACAGTCTCTGGCAATTAAAAAAGATCATTATCATACGCCTCACGTTCCGATCTAGGTTTAACTATTATTACTACTTACACAACAAAGGTTAGTTAAATTCGATGCATAAATTATTTACTGTATATATTAAGACAACAAATCGAAGAATTTTCGCTTGCTTCGGAATTAATTAGAGAGTAAATGGAATTCCACAAATAATCGTCCAGATGGGATTTTCGATTAGAAACTCTATTTTAAATATTACAATTTTCATTTTAATTAGAATATAAACTGTCTGGCTTTAATAATAACATTTTTCCATAATCTTCTCACTTTTAAGTAATACTAGTTTTTACGGATTTTATCGCGTATATTTAACTTGCATAACACCCATGGTCACGACGGGGACTGAGAGTCCCCCCGGTGACCATGGGTGCTTTAAAGTGCTCGAAACGTGGGGTATTAGTAAAAAGTTAAATATACGCGATAAAATCCGTAAAGACCAGTATTACTTTTCTGTTTGCATCATATGTACGAATGTATAACCTACACCATATTTGATAATAGCGGTAAATTCATAAATAGTAGCAAATGTTTTGAGTAAAACATTATTCCACTAATCTTTTTAAGATTTATATCTATTAATGGGCACAGTAGACAACAGGTATTTATTAATAAGTATAAAAATTGATAGCTATACAAGAAAGAGAAGTAGAATATATTAATAAAATAAAACGCCATTTTTCGATGGATCAAAAATCATTAGAAAACACTGTAAAATGTTTAACTATATGAAATATAAATACAGAGTGAAAGAGATATACAATCAGCATTAAATTCCGAAGAGGCATTCTCCATTTTCAATTTTAATAGAGTTTTATTTCATCTTTCCTATTTCATAATCTATGGTGTTCTCGTATAATCATGGATTAGATTGTAAATTAATACTTAATATATTTGGAATTAAGGAAACTCGAATTAATTATAATACATAACTAACTCGCGCGCGGGCCCAGTTTTCGCAAGCATGATATACCCTGAAACAAAAAATACATTATTTGCTTGTTGTATCTTTTGATATTGTAAATATAAACTCTGAAAGCAAATCGATTTCTCAAAAATTGATCTTTTAGACTTCGACTTTTTTGCGAATCGATTCATCAGATTTCCATTCGAATCGATTTAAAAATCGATCTTTTTCGGGAAGAAACACCATCCCTATAGTAGTATAACATAGAAGTCTTTAGTCCCATATAGTGAGTGCAGAGAACCGGACACACTTTACTGAAAACGAGGCATTACCATCAGGTGCACTGTGTGGTTTGAAAATCTTATTCTATAAAAAATATTTACACTAATCAAAACGTTTAAAGCAAACTAGCAATGCATTTAACACTATTTGATATGTAACCGTTGAAGATGACGACCTTTACGAACGAGGAATACTTTTATTTGTTACGGATACTGTAATTGTGTATCCCATAGAGTACTAATACATACATAATGGAATGGGGGAGTCGGCGGAGCCCGTGTAGCCACTAACATGTCAATTCACACCTATAAATGTCAACGCAATCAATCGTTTCCAATTTTCGTGTCAAGCGTCGCTGCATGTAAATTATTTAAAAAAATGGCTATTGTGCAATAATTACGTGACGAAAGAACAGCGGGGAATGGAATTTAAATAAAGGAGACATATCCTACAACCAGTAAGTCGAAATTCTTCATATTTTGTGAATATTAGAAGCAAAAATAAAGAGATATTGATGTATCACAAACATTAATCAAATGTCTAAAATGTGTAAATTCGCTCAGTCAATACAACGCATCGGGTTTGTAGTAGTGATAATACGACGTTATTGCTTGTATGTGAGCTCCCGGCGACACCGATCCTCGTACAAAATAAGGTTGACAGCCATTCTATTGTGTACTATAGTATTCTGTGGTGTATCCGCACGAGCTTGTGGTGAATACATAGCACGTTATC